GGCTATTAATATCCCGCTTTTGTCATCCATTTTATTATCACCCAGCGATTTCTTCAATGGCCGGATCTTCGAGAGGGATTTCTAACGATCCCTTTCTCCGCGGAGGTCGCCGTCTGGTAGAACAGCTTGATGAAGACGAGACCAAGGCGGAGGTTTACAAGGCCCGTATTTGCAGGCTAAGCATGCACATCCGGTCACTTTGGGAGCGTCAAAGTCCTAAGGCCGACCTCGAACGATATCTCGGGGTTGAGGAGTTCATAGAGAAATCCGTTTTCAAGCATGGCCTCAACGATATCCTTCGAGAACGTGCGCTGTCATCGGGTCAGTTCTACCACCTACACTCCATTCTTGAACGTATCAAGGTCTCGTGGCTTCAAGAAGGGGATCTTGATTCGTTTGATGGGCCTCTCGTTGCGAGCCGGATGCGTAGCGAAGAACTGGAGGGATATCGCGCTCGCATTGCTCGGTTGTGCGACTATATTGTCGCGTTCAATAGCGCAGCCGAAGTCGTTCATCAGAGGGTTCGGGCGGAAGGTGTTGAGAGTTTTCTTCTGCTGATGGTTTCCGAGGGGGTGCCGATCAAAAGAAAGATCCTCAAGCTGGCGAGGCAGGCAAGTTCCTTGTCGGCCGAAGAGGAGGCGAAGTATCCTCTTCCGCAGTTGCACGACGGCGACACCGACCTGTTTCCCAAATTTATCGATTTGGGGGGCTAAGTGGGTCGCTTTGGCTAGTGGCCATTATGAGTTTCTTTTTTCTTTTTGTCCAAGAGTGTATTTTGCTTGTAACAAACTTTCATCAAATAAAACGGGATCGTTAACGACAATCGCGCGTTTATTTATTATTATTATTTTTTGTTTGCTAGCTGCACCATGTATCATGGTTGCCTACGTACCTCTTTCGAGGATCAAGCCAATCGTAGTTCACATCATAGTACATCAAATGAAAGACTCGGATTCCCGAGTGAGGCATCCATCCGCCTTTGTGGTCGGATTCCCGACCTAATAGTAGAACCTTTTGAGGTGGGCCGCGTTCCAGAAGTGTTGCACTCGCTGCCCTTCCATGGTCGATAGTTCATAGACGCCTGGGTGAACTCGCCGTGCGACGATATAGGGGCCCTCCCATCTTGCTCCGAGCTTGCCGGCGTTGAGCTCTTTGGTGTTTTCGAAAACTTCTCGCAGAACCTGGTCGCCCTCATTAAAACGGCGTTCCCGGACGGTCTTGTTATAATACTTTGCTGCCGAGTTCTGGTAGTTTTGTATACGGATCATCGCTTGATCTCGTAATTCCTCACTCCAATCGAGGTGATCGTGGAGCCGAGTTTCGTTTAACTCCGGGTCCGCGATCATCATTGTTCGCCGGAGCGTCGGTATTCCGACCTCCGAAGGCGCCATGGCTTCAACACCGTAAGCCAAGGCGAACGGCGAGAATCCGGTTGCGCGTCGAGGAGTTGTGCGATGCGACCATAATACTCCGTCGAGCTCGTCGGCCCAAAGTCCCTTTTTCCGACCTAACCTTTTCTTGATGCCGTCGAGGATAGTTTTGTTGGTAGCCTCGGCCTGGCCGTTTCCTTGAGGGTATCGCGGGGTTGACGTACTGAGTTTGATGTGCCATTTTCTGAAGAACCGCTTGGTTAGGTAAGAAGTGAATTGGGATCCGTTATTCATGACGATCTCATAGGGAATACCGTGTCGGCAGATAATGTGCTTCCAGATGAATCCGGTTACGTCGCCCGACTTAACCTGATTGAACGATTCCGCCTCCACCCATTTGGTGAAATAGTCGGTGAGCACCAGCAAAAATCTTTTAGTGCGGCAAGGAGGAAACGGTCCGACGATGTCCATGGCCCATCGCATGAAAGGGTAGGGTGATGTCACGGGAGAGAGCGCTTCGGGAGGTACGTGTTTTAAGGTGGCGTGCCTTTGACAATCTTCGCACTTTTGGGCGAATGCCTCGCAGTCGGCGAGCTTAGTTGGCCAAAAATGGCCGTCTTTCTTTATTTTTAGGGCCAAAGCGCGTCCTCCTGAATGGTTCCCGCCGTCTCCTTTGTGGACCTCGCCCATAATTCTTTCGCTTTCGTCTCGATTGACGCAAGTGAGGAAGGTTCCATTGGAACTTCTCCGGAGAAGTTCTCCATCGGCCAGAATGTAATTGGCGCATCGGACTTTTAACCGTCGAGCTTGCCACCGGTCTTCAGGGACCTGACCGCTTTGTATGTAGAGTTTGATCTCTTCCCGCCAATCGACCGGGGGGGCTTCCTCGTCGTGAGGCTCGTTCCCAACTGGGTCGATCTCCATCGGGATCAGGTCGTTCATGATGAGGTTGATCTCATGAGGTTGAGCGATGCTCGGTAGATCGATACTTTCGATGGGGATAGATCGGCGGAGGTCCGGATTTGCATTCGAAGCTAAGGCGACGAGGGCGTCGGCCGAAGTGTTGTCGCAACGTGGAATTTTTGTGAGGGAAAAGCTATCAAATTCGGCCGAGGCGGATCGGACTAACGCCAGATAAGAACTCATCCGCTCGTTCTTGGTGTCGAATTCTCCGCTGAATTGGCTTACGACCAGTTGTGAATCGCAAAATAACTGAATATGTTTTATTCCGATGCCCCTAGCAAGTCGTATTCCCGCGAGCACAGCTTCGTACTCGGCCTCGTTATTGGATGCTTTGAAACCGAGTTTCAACGACTGTTCCAGAAACTCGCCTGTTGGTGATCGCAAGAGGATTCCTACTCCGGATCCTTGGTTGCAAGAAGATCCGTCGACATAGAGGGTCCAGCTTTCGATTTTTGGTGCGTCCTCCACGAGTTCTGGGGCAAGCTCGACAATAAAGTCCGCTAAAACCTGCGATTTCAGACTGGGGCGAGAGCGGTATTCAATATCGTATTCGCTTAGTTCGATGGCCCATTTAGCCATTCTTCCTGATTGCATGGGGCTGTGCAGCACTGTCCAAAGTGGTTGATCGGTATAGATGACGATCGCGTGTGATTGGAAATATGGACGCAACTTCCGGGCGGCGACGACGACGGCCAAAGCGAACTTCTCTAATGTTGGGTAGCGTGTTTCGGCATCGTTCAAGGATTTGCTGACGTAGAGAACAGGCCTCTGATCACCGCGATCGTCTCGGACTAAGACGCCGCTTACTGCCGTGCTAGAGACCGAAACGTAGAGGTATAAGACCTCGCCGTTCTCGGGTTTTACTAGGATGGGGTGGCTGGTTAAATACGTCTTCAACTCTTGAAAAGCCGCTTCACATCGCTCGTCCCAATGAAAATCTCGATTTCCTCGGAGTAGCTGATAGAAGGGAAGGCACATGTCGGTCGACCTTGCGATGAAGCGATTGAGAGCTGCAATCCGACCTGTCAAACGTTGCACCTCGCGCTTGTTAGTTGGGGAAGGGAGTTCCAAAACCGCCGTTATCTGCTTTGGGTTGGCCTCGATTCCGCGTTCGGTAACGATGTACCCCAGAAACTCCCCGGATGTCACTCCAAATGTGCACTTAGTTGGGTTTAGCTTCATCCGGTATTTGTCGAGAAGATCGAAGCATTCCGTGAGGTGATGGACGTGGTCTTTTACCGTTAACGACTTCACCAACATGTCGTCAATATACACTTCCATTGTCCGTCCTAGGAGATCGGCGAACATTCGGTTTACGAGGCGTTGATAGGTTGCTCCCGCATTTTTTAAACCGAAAGGCATGACTTTGTAGCAATATGTTCCCCTATCCGTAATGAAGGATGTTTTCTCGCGGTCGGCAGCGTGCATCATAATCTGGTTATAACCTGAGAAGGCGTCCATAAATGATAACAATTGATTCCCCGAAGTTGCTTCTACCAGGCGATCTATGTGTGGGAGCGGGAAAGAGTCTTTGGGACAGGCTTTGTTCAGATCGGTAAAATCTACGCACATTCTCCATTTGCCGTTTTTCTTTTTGACGACAACTGGGTTCGCCAGCCACTCCGGGTATTGTACCTCCATGATAAGGTCCGCCTTTAACAGTCGTTGTACCTCGTCTTGAACTGCCTGGGCTCGTTCGTTGCCCAGTCTGCGCCTTTTCTGGCAAACTGGTTTGAAAGTGGGGTCCACGTTGAGCTTGTGACAAGCTACTTCAGGATCTACTCCGATCATATCCTTATTTGACCATGCGAATGTGGACGATCTCGTCTTCAGGAAAGTTACCAGCTCCTGCTTGATCGGGTCGTCTAGCATGGCTCCAACGCCCACAGTTCGGGAGGGATCGGATTCATCGATATTGACCTGGATAACCTGGCAACTCGGAGATTGGAGGGATGCGCGCGCTGGTTTTTGGAGAACGTCGCTGCATTCTCCGCTCTGTAATTGCTATGCGAGGTCGTCCCTTCTCTGCTTCTTTTCGATAATGCAGCAGTTCCGTGACATTTTCTGGTCGCCATACAAGATGTAGATTCCGGTTGCCGTAGGAAACTTCACGCACAAATGATAAATAGAAGGAATGGCTCTCATGGCATAAATCCAACGGGAGCCGAGTATCGCATTATAGATTAGTGGGGCGTCAACAACCGTGAACTTGAGCTTTTTTGCCACTCCTCCGACCTTCACTTCGATTTTGATATCCCCCATCGCGAGACGGGTCGTACCATCGTAACCGGTTAGCGTTCGAGCTTTCGGTTTTATTTCGGATTCTGAGATCCCCATCTTGGCTAGCGTGCCTAAGAATAGCACGTTGACGGTACTGCCGGTATCGACTAAAACGCGTTCCACATCGTAATTACCCATGGTTACTTCCACGACTATGGAGTCATTATGGGGGTGTTGTATTCCCTTGGCATCGTCGGAAGAGAATGTGATAAGTTCGCCAGCCGGCACTTCGTCCTCCGGTGCGACATGCAAGCTGCACACCTGTCTAGCTCTTTTTTTGAGGGCCCGGACCGAGTCGTTGCAGTCCTCAGGCGTTCCCAGTATCATGGTTATCCGTCCGCGAGCCGGTGAGCCCGCATCCTGCGGTCGTTGCCCTCTCTGCCTTTTCGGTGGTCCCGGCAGTTCTCCCTCTTCATCGTTATGCCGTTCGGGACTTCGCCGATCGGGGCCGTCCTCTCGGTATTGTCTTGTCCCCTGGCCTCGGCCTCGACCACGCCCGCGCCTTCCGTCAGGTCGTTGTCCTCGGTATTCTTTGGGTTGGAATACCGCTTCTATTTCGCCGGACTTATATTTGTCGAGGAGGTAATTAGAAAGATGCTTGCACTCTTCGGTTGAATGTCCGGCGAACTTATGGAAAGTGCAGTACGCTTCTTTGGACGACGTTTTTTGGTTACTGGCTTCTTCTGAGATTGCGCTAATTGCGTCGCGCGAGGCGTCCTTTCCCTCATTGTGCTTACGTGGTTCCCGGTAGTCTTCACGTTTTCGGTCCCGGGGTGCAGGACGGTTTGCTCCAGACTTCGCCGCTAGTTTGGCATCTTCTTCTTCAAAAAGTGCGTATCTTGACGCGCGATGTAGTGCGTCGTCGAGATCTTTCGGCTCACAGATGGCCAAGTCCTTTCGTAGGGACGATCCTGGAATGAGCCCCTTACGAAATGCGGCCAAAGCGGCATCCTCTGGAACTGATACTTTGGCCAGCAAATTTTTGAATCGCACCAAGTACTGCTGCAGAGTTTCGCCGGCTTCCTGAGTTGTGTCCCAGAGATCGATGCTAGATGCTCCGGGTTGTATGAAATGCCGGTAATGTCGGAGGAACGAGGTCGATAGCTGGGCGAAATTATCGATCGAATTCGGGCTAAGCCGAGAAAACCAGGTAAGAGCATTGCCCGTCAGACTTTCAACGAACAGCTGGCAATGCCCTGTATCCTTCTCATCGTCGGAGAAGTGTGCTTTTGTGACTACGGCCATGAACGCCGTCATAAAGGTACGTGGATCCTTGTCCCCGTCGTTCGTCGGCAGTCTGAACTTGATATGCGGAATTCGGGCTTGAGTGATACGGCTCGTGAAGGGAGTTCGCTGTGTCTCTTCGAACATACGGTCAATTTCAGGGGCTGAGCTGGAGACTCGATAGACCTGAGAGTTTATGTCGGCTATCCTTGCGTACAGATCTTCCAGATCCTAGTTACGCCCGGAACTGGGCGCATCCGCAGGTTGGCTGGACGCTGTTACCAATGCTCGGGGTCGAGTCCCGGTTGGCGAAGGTCTTACGTACGAGCGGCCAACTTGAACTGGGGGACGTACCGTGCATCCTCCGACCCGACCGGGGGTGGGGACGTCGAGACTTACATCTTGAGCGTTAGATTCCGGCGTACGATTGCGAATGATTGTATCCATCCGGTGGTCGGCTGCAGCGATTCGGTCGTAGATATCTTTCGTCATGCTTCCGAACACTATGCGCAGGTCGTCCATGGATACGGTTTGCTGAACAGGTGGGCATGCTGGAGCGACCTGAGCGAGTGGCTCGTCCGTGGGCCGACCTTCGGACTTTCGAGGGGCAATCGTGTCACCTTCCACTTCGCCAGTTTGAGGACGCTCGGTGGTTTCGGTTGGCACCGGGAGATCCATTTGACGGACTTCTTCTTCGAGCCTCTCATTGAAGGTCGAGCCGTTAGTACGGGGCTACTCGTCGGGCTCCTCGTTTGGACGTGAGTCAACAGGGCTGAGCTGCTGAGACATCTCAAGGTGGATTGCTTCGTTAAACGAGTTGAGAGAAGTGTTACTTTTGAAAATGCCTTCTAGAAAGGAAAAAATTCCCCCCCTCCTTCTAGCGCCAATTGTTGAACCAAGGGTTCACACAATGAATTTATTATGGAAAGGAGAATAAATTCACTTTGAACAATCTCTCAAGAACTCGATAAAACGGATTTAGAAGGATTGATTCGACCTAGAAATGAACGATTTAGGGTTTGCTCAAGAACAAGTGAAGAACTAGGGTTTTTGTTATTAAATGATCGATGCCCTAGAATAGAGACATCTTCTCTATTTATACAAGGGATTTAGGGTTACAATAAATGCTCCTTTTCCTTAGATTTTCAGAAGATATTGTCATAAATATTCAATTAGGGTTTTCAAAACCCTAATGATCCGAGGTCGTCCATTCCATTTTAGTAATGAAGCACCCTTTGCATTAATTAGACAATAAACCGGGATTCCCCGATTTATTGGTTTAACTCGATTCCGTCTTGGTTTAGGCCGCTATGTCGTTGGTGCTAATTCCTACACCAACAATATTCTAAACCCAAAAAACAGTAGACAAGCCATTTAATTCTTGAAAGCAATGGTTATGGGTTCTTTGCCCATTTCGGCCCAAATTTCAGCAAGTCTTTCTACACTCTTCTAAACACTATTCATGCATCTCTAGAACTTGTAATCAATCAAATTTTATGTACTTTAACCTATTCTAACCCCAAAGAACACTAAACAAGCCATTTAGTGGTTCAACGCAATGTTTCCGAGTTCTTAGCCTATTTGGGACCAAATTTCAACAAGTCTTTCTCCAAACTTCTAAACACTCTTCATGATTCTCTAGCACTTGTAATCAATCAAGATTATTGTATTCCAACATATTCTAACCCCAAAAAACAGTAGACAAGCCATTTAATGCTTGAAAGCAATGGTTGTGGGTTCTTAACCCATTTCGGCCCAAATT